CTGGTCGTATGAGTTGGCGCCATGGGAAAATCTTTAAACAAAAATTCCAAAAAAAACAGAATTTGTCGATCGGAAGTGCAAAGAAGAGAAAAAGATGAGAAATATGATGCCTAACTTGAAGTGAATGGCAGAATATGGGGTTGAACGATAAACTCGAACACTCTTATCTTGAGCTTCGATAGCTATAGCGACAAACAACAAGAGCTCTGAAGCTTCAGATACAGATACAAGAAAGCATAAAGACTGAAAGGGATGAATCGGGGAATGAAAAAACGAAGAAAAAAAAAGAAAAACTGAAAGGGATGAACCATAAGCCTTTATTACACATTTCTAGGTGGGGAGCGAACAACTCACAACTCCACACATGGAGGCTTGCTACAAGGCCGCAGAGCCGATGTTAGGCGGGTGACAACATTGCCCCGCGGATGTCATGTGCATATGTGTAAATGAAGAATTTCAAGTCATCAAGCCGACCATCAAAAGTCACAATTAATGGGGTGTATTGTCCTACATCCCAAGGGTTTAGGGATAGTCGATTCAAAATTGGGCCTCAGTTTGACCACATAGTGGGACGAGGTCAAGCACGGAGGCCACTAGTATGGTGTCATGCCCTAGAGTACCAGACATGCTAACAACCGCCGCACAATCCGATTAAGGCAACAACAGTCTATCTATCTTGAACCATGCAAGGCATACATGAATAACATTCACACAAGTACATCCATAAACAGCCATAAGTAAAGCATTTCAAAATATGCAGCGTAAAACGAATACATTTTTAAAGTCAAAGGACACACAGGGCAAACATGAGCACTTAAGCTCCCAAACCGTTTATAGTTTGAAATAATTTCCATGAGCATCATTTTATTTATATCAAAATAGAATTGGAAGAAGCATGAACCATGTCTTCTCTCCATAGATCACCCAAAGCAAACGGGAACAGGAAGCAAGCTCTAGCTTCTACCTGAAAACTGTGAGGTGGCCTCCCCGTGAAGGGGATGTCAGTACTTTGAAGCATTTGGAAAGTAGATGAATGACAATTATATGACATATAATCAACATTTTGAACACCAAACCCTCAACATAGGGTGATAATAGACTATGGGCATAACCCATAGCTACCCCATTTCAAATCACATGTATAGTATATATATCAAGTCAAATAGCCGACCCGTAGGTTTAATCGAGTTGAGAGCTTGGTTTTGGAGGAACTTTTGATCAGTTTCTCACAGGCAGCACCAATGTTGAGGTTTATTCTCTTCAACCCGTAGGCCCAACACACAACCCAATGGTTTCGAGTGGGTATTTCAAAGAGGAAAAAGTCAAACAAGTAAGATGAGGCCCAATAAGAAATTTCAATTTAATTCTGAGGGATTAAAACAGCGTGAGGCTGTTCGTCCCCTTGCTAGGCGTGAGGCCGTTCGTATTTAAACTGTGTAACGACTGTTATAAAGTGAGGATGTTCATCCCCAGATGTGCTACGAACTGCTATGAATGCTATAATACTAGAGTGCTAAGTTGTCTTCCCCTTACAATGAAATCAATGCTACTATTTATACCGCCAATGGGTAGTTAGATGTATTGAACCTAGTTGTGGATGACCTGACCCCAAACACCAAATCCTCTGCATTAAATGCTCGACCAGCAAGATTTTGGCTTCACGCCAAGGGGTGAGCACGTTCATCCCCATGAGTTTGGCTAGCTTGATCTGGACCACCAAATATCCTGTATTAAATGCGCAGCCACCAAATATCTTATATTAAATGTGCAACCACCAAATATCCTGCATTAAATGCGCAATCACCAGGATCTTGGCACGTTCCTCCACACGGGCTTGTCTCCTATTCCCTGCTGGGTCCGAAGTCCTGCAGGACGTGCATCCCGTGCTGCTCCTGGGCCAAGGTACCTGCTGACGCTAGGATACGTACATCCCCTTAACCTTGATGTTGCTCCTGGGCCAAGGTACCTGATGATGGTGGGATACGTACGTCCCCTTAGCCTTGGTGTTGCTCATGGGGACGCACGTCTCGTGCTATACTTAGACCAAGGCACCTACCTTTGGCTACGCACGTCTTCTGGATGATGGGGATGGGTATTCCGCTGCCTTTGGCCTTCTGGGGATGTACGTCTCGTGCTATGCTTGGACCAAGGCATCTATCTTTGGCTACGTACATCCTCTGGATGATGGGGAGACGTATCCTGCTGCCTTTGGCCTTCTGGGGACGTACGTCCCGTTATGTGCTTGGGCTAAGGAACCTACCTTTGGCTACATACGTCCTCTGGATGACGAGGAAAGGTATCTCGTTGCCTTTGGGCCTTCTGAAGACATCGTACGATGGGCCTTCAAGGGTTTATGGGTCAACCCCCATTGGGCCATTAACCTAACAGAGAGTATGTAGATAAATAATATGAGATCGAGTCCTCCTTACATTATACTCCATCCGTATTTTAATGTTCAGTACAACAAATTTGGGCACATTATTGATGATGAAATAGTGGGTAGAATGAATAGTGTAGGCAAACTGGAGAAGTGGTGGAAAAGTATGAAAGAGAAGATAACAAGTAGAAAAAATAAGGGTAATTGAGTATTTTTAAAGAAAAACTTACCAACGAGAGAAACTGTAGCGAACTTTTAATTAGATTCGAAAAATGAAAGTTTAGAAAACATTGAAATACGAGAGTACTAAACTTAAACCTTGTCAATATTTATTGATTGATACTCCTAAACTTAATCACTGTTTTTGATAAAACCATAGGAGCAAAAGCTCCTACCTTTCATTAATGGTCAAACGAGGTTGAGAGACCCAAATAAGCCATACAGAATGTGTAACGATAACACAGGATGAATATTGGAAACAGAATGAACACCAATAGGTAATCTATGGCCTAGGCGAGCTAAGTCTGTGGTCCGGTTTCCCTCATTGTAAATATGCTCAACTTTGACAATTCAATTTCGATCTAACAGCTCGCGAAAGTGTTGATATGCACTCTCACCTTCCACCATCAAAAGCGGAATCGCTGCCTGCGAGTCCAGCTACACTTGTACCTGGTGGTATCCGAACTCCCAAGCAATTTGTAAACCTTCCAGAACGGCTCTCAATTCAGCTTTCATTATTGAGCAAAATCCTAGGTTCATCGAGAATCACGTCAGGAACACGAAACAAACATCCTGGAGCTCATCCAATCTCAGTAACAACCGACCCGTCAGAATATAGAGCAACCCATTCAAATGGTTGTGATGACCAAGAGACATCCATCATCATTCTGATGGGTAAATCGGTATGAGTGGATTGGACACGTATCAAGGCCTCCTCGATAGTTACTGCCCAATGTCGGATACACTATGCAACTCCAGGCGTGGTGCGGCCAACAGTAAATATAGTTTCATTTATGGTCTTCCTGAGAGACCAACATGCAACCCAAAGAGAAGACTATTAGCCGTTGCCTTTAGGCGGTGTGTGACCCAAGGCAGAAGTGGGGAATCCCAGTCCTTCCGATCTCTTTTTATTTTAAAGCAACTTTATAACTAATACAGGTTATTATTTGTCTTATCTTTTTAGACAGGATTAGTTTTCTTTCTTTTAATTAATTTTAATCAACTAAACTTAAGATTTATAATTTATTGTTCTATTTGTTAATCAATTTTAGTCAAATTTATTGAGTTGACACAATTTTATTTAGGTCTGATACTATATCAAAATAAAAATGATTAAACAAAAAAATGCAAAACGAAAAAGCAAAATGAAATCAAGTGAAAAACGAATAATCATAAAAAGTTTTTTTAATGTTGCATTTGGAGAGAGGAACCCCAACGGCTGTCTCCCGTGTTTGTAGGGATTGAGATTTCCCGTCGCCCCTATCAGTAGGGAGTTGGAACGGCTTATTATACTAATTTTAAGGGTTCTAAAGCTTGAGATTACAATTACGTCAGAAGAGATAGTGTTGACGGATGAACGAGGTGCGGCTGAAGGGTTGTATCGAGGCGGGACCGTGAACCACCTCCGTACCAGAAAGAACTTTGTGGAAAGATTTTATTTCAGTATTATTTTTCTTTAGTTGCACTTGTTTTTGTTCTAGTCCGAGTAGATTTGGTTTGAATGTTTGGATTTTTGGAGTTCTTTTGATACACATGTTTCAGTTCAGATCGTTTTAGATCTAAATTTGTTCGTTTCAGATTTAGCGAGTCATGTTATTTTATAAGAGGCGATTGACTTTAAGTCTACTCCTAGTATTAACGATTGGATTTGTAAACTATATCTTCTCAATTTTTTTTAATAATTTATGAGCTACAAAGGGATTTATGAAGATTGTTTCGTATGTTTTCTCCATTTTGATATAACCGTCCTTCATAAAAAAATGTTGCATTTGGATGTACGGAAGAGCTGTGTGGTGATTGGTGAACACTGAACAGTGAACAAGTTCTATGATTTGAGGATTGAGTTTAGCTCTTGGCCGATATCCAGGGCCGTAGATGAGGGCGTGCAAGAAGTGCAACCGCACAAGGTCTCTCAATTTCAGAAGGCCCAAAAATTTAAATATAGTCTATATAATATAATAAATCTTTATTTGATTAAAAAATCGTATCTTATTATTATTTTAAAATACAAACATTAAATAGTAATATTTTTATGTAATTAAAGTACAATTGTTAATTACAATTGTGTGATTTCTTTATTTCAGAAGACCTAATTACATTAATTAGCACAAAACCCTCGTACAGTTTGGAACGAGCTTGTAACTACTTTCTTTTTCATACTTTGTCATTACTTTACTTTTCTTAATTTATTCTCTTTTCTACTTTTCATTTACCTTTAGGGCCTACTATTTTCATCTTAAAACCCACAAAAAATCTAAGGACACTATTATTTAAAAACAGCGAAAGTAATCATATAATAATGATTATATAATGATAAAAAAACTTAGGGCCTCATTTTCAATTTTGCACAGGTCCTTCTGTATGTCTGGGCCGGCCCCGGCAGATATCCAACTCCTAGGAGTATCTACTGCTAGCTGAGAGTGTTCATATGCCGAGGGGAGTATCTACGTGATATATTTGAAAATTCCCAATTATCCGAGAAAACACTCCAGTACTTCCGCCACCTTATAATAATCTGCCGATTTCAGTCTTCATAATGTTTCCTGCTGCTACTGGAGGGAAGCCAGTATTCATAACCAGGAGTATCCAACTTCCCGCGGGAGAGTAGAATTTGCGGCTGAAGTTTCAAGAGAAGAGACCCAAATTCCTTCCATGTCTGACATTTCCACCGCAGTTTACATGTCGACCGTTTCTTACCACCATTTCTCCCCTTCTTCGTTGCTTCCACCGACCAACGCGCACCCCTCACGCACCCCTAGAAGGTCATATCCGTCGACTACTTGGACTGGTTCTACTCAATCTATCTCTTTCTCCTCCAGAAACTCTTTCGCTGTATGTCTTTCAGAAGCAGTGCTTTAGCAATTGTGTTCCTGCATTTTTAATCTTTTCATGCTAGATACTCTACACTATCCGTTGTTGTGAGCAGAGAGAGGCATGGATGGTGATAAATTTCAAGAACTCGGTAAATTCTAGAAGGAGGACAGTGATTAGGGCAGAAATGTTTGGTCAGCTCACCACTGGACTTGAAGCAGCCTGGAATAAGCTCAAAGGGGAAGGTCTTTTCCTCATCCAATTACTCTAATTTCAATTCAAAGAAGCGGTTTTTGATGTGATGTAACATGATATTGCAGTCTTGAAGAGTTCTACATTTTGTGATTTTTTCACCCCCTCACATTTTCAAACGAAACCCTTGTGTTCCAGAGGCCTTGACAAAGGAAAATATTGCTGAACCTATAAGAGATATTAAGAGGGCTCTTTTGGAAGCAGACGTATGAACACTTTCTATTTTAGTGTGTGTCCATGTGCCTAATGTAATATGTGCCTACAACTTGTAATATCTACCTTCAATGGCAGGTTAGTCTCCCAGTTGTGAGAAGGTTTGTAGAATCTGTTAGTGAACAAGCTGTTGGTAGTAGCTTGATTCGTGGAGTACGGCCTGATCAGCAATTGGTCAAAGTATGTTTACCATAGATTGATTGAACAAGCTATTCATGTATTCTTTTTGGTCATTTTCTTTCAAGGATAATTGCATCTTTGATCCCTTGTTTTCTGGCGATATCCAAAATGTTCCAGTTCTGTAATTAATCTCACATATGGGGGCCTGTAATGTTTAGTTTTGCTCTAAGGACTTTCAACCGTTCGGTCAGTTCTGATCATATCACACTGACATGGACATTTTTTAAATAAAAATTAAAAAATGACAAATAAGTTGTTAAAATCGGCTGAAGCAGTTCGGTAGGATTTTGTTTTTCCCTGGCCAAAAGTCCGAAGAAAAATTAAAGAATTGTAGGGACAAATGTGAGAATGGTTCTAGCTACAGGACCATTTAGGTTCCTAAAAATGATACCAGCCCCCCCCCCCCCCCCCCCCCTTGCTTTTATGACAAAGAATGTAAATACCATCAGGCACGACCTTGGATGGTCATGCATTGATGCAATTACCCTGTTTATCAGTTGATCATTGTAAGAGTTCTAGAAACATGTTTTAATTGTTCAAGTGTGTCTTTCTGTTCATCTTTTTTGTTTTCTTCTTATTGATGTTAGTTGAGAATATTACTTCATAGGAAGTTTTGTTTACTATGTGCTTTTGCGGTCAATTCATGCAGATTGTGCATGAGGAGCTTGTGAAGCTGATGGGTGGAGAGGTCTCTGATCTGGTTTATGCAAAATCTGGCCCCACTGTTATTTTGCTGGCTGGTCTACAAGGTGTGGGAAAGACGACTGTTAGTGCAAAATTAGCTTTATATATTAAAAAGCAGGTGCACATTTGAGAACCTGCCCTCCTTTTGTCATATGCACAGACACACAACACAGATGCACATATAAAGCCAAAGGAAAGAAGACAGCTTTATCCACCTAAAGAATGTTTTAATTTTATGCTTAAAAAGACCATGACGGCATGAATTGCAGGGAAAGAGTTGCATGCTAATTGCTGGAGATGTATATAGACCTGCTGCAATTGAGCAACTCACCATTTTGGGCGAACAGGTAATTATTCTTTTATACAAATATGCTTTGCTTATTAAGAAGCAAGCATTGCCTATTTGTGATACACTAACATATCAATGTTTCATGTTTTTTCAAACAGTATTGCCGCTTTTTCCAGATTTTATTAACAAAGAAGCATCCTTTACGCCCGTATGATACTTATGCAGCAACGGAGTTCTTCTTATTTGTGTTGAAATATAAACTAGAATAATATTGAAGAGTGGAGGAAAGATTTTCTGTGTATTTCATTAGTTGTGGAAGTCCCTATAAATATACATTACAAATAGAATATTCCTATATAAGATTCTATACAATAATAATATCTATGGTATATTCCTAATATATTCTAAAGCATATTCTAAAGTATATTCTAAAGTATATTCTAATATACTTTCACACTCCCCCTCAAGTTGGAGCATAGATATTTATCATTCCCAACTTGTTACATAAATAACCAACTCGAATTCCATTTAGTACTTTAGTGAACAAATCTCCAAGTTGTTCCCCCGTCTTCACATATCCTGTAGAGATCAATCCTTTTTGTATCTTCTCTCGAATAAAATGACAATCGACCTCAATATGTTTTGTTCTCTCATGAAACACTGGGTTGTTGGCAATGTGTATAGCAGCTTGGTTATCACACCACAGTTTAGCAGGCATTCGTGTCTTCAATCCAATTTCACTCAATAAATGGTTTATCCAGATTATCTCACATGTCGATTGTGCCATAGCACAATATTCTGATCCGGCACTAGATCGAGAAACCACATTCTGCTTCTTACTTTTCCAGGAGACAAGATTACCACCAACAAAGACGCAATAGCCAGATGTAGATCTTCTATCATCTTTAGATCCAGCTCAATCAGCATCTGCAAAGCATTCTATTCTCATGTGATCATGATTTTGATAAACAATACCTCGTTCTGGTGTTCCCTTCAAGTAACATAATATATGTTCTACAGCATTCCAGTCATCAACTGTGGGAGATGACATATACTGACTCACTACACTCACTGAGTATGCAATATCTGGACGAGTGATCGCGAGATAATTAAGCTTTCCAACCAATAGTCTATATCTTTATGGGTGAGTTGTACATTGGGAACCATGGGAGTATTGCTCAGCTTTGATCCCAACTTTCCTGTTTCAGCGAGCAATTCAAGTACATATTTTTGTTGAGATAGAAATATGTCTTTCTTACTCCGTGTTACCTCAATACCCAAGAAGTATTTCAATGAGCCTAGATCTTTTGTTTGGAACTGGCTATGAAGATAATTTTTAAGGGCCAAAATACCTACATTATCACTGCATGTAATCACAATATCATCGACATACACCACAAGCAATATGATACCTGCTTTCGTTTGTATGTAAAAGACAGAGTGATCTGATTGACCTTTTGTCATGCCAAATCGTTCAATTGATTGACTGAATTTTCCAAACCATGCACGGGGACTTTGTTTCAAACCATAAAGAGACTTTCCCACACTCCCCCTGAGCAACAAATCCTGGAGGTTGCTCAATATAAACTTTTTCCTGAAGGTCACCATGCAAGAATGCATTTTTAATGTCCAACTGATGTAAGTGCCAATCATGAGTTCCAGCGAGAGAAATAAGTAATCTGACAGATGTTAATTTAGCGATAGGAGAACAAGTGTCAGAATAATCAACACCATAGGTTTTAGCATAACCCTTCACAACTAATTGAGCTTTCAACCGAGCAACAGATCCGTCTGGGTTAACCTTAACAACAAAGACCCACTTACATCCTATAGATTTCTTCCCTGTAGGCAAGTCAACCAAATCCGAAGTACCATTAAGATCTAAAGCATTCATTTCCTCTACCATGGCATGACGCCATTCAGGATGAGACAAAGCTTCTTTAACAGATTTGGGAACAGAAATAGAATTGATAGAAGCAATAAAAGAACATGAGGCAGGGGATAACTGACTATATGACACAAATGAAGAAATAGGATGAGTACAAGACCGTGTACCTACGTAGTGCTATCGGAAGGTCAAGATCTGATGTAGAGACAAGATCTGAAGATGCATGTACCGGTTCAGGAAATGAGATCAAGGACAGACCAATATCAGGATAAGTAATCAGAAGTGTCATTTGTGGAGGGTGATCTGGTGCTCTGTTTCGACGGGTGTAAATCAAGTGTACTGGAGGTCTGGGGTCGGGAACATTAACATGTGGAATAACTACAGAAGGTGTAGATTCCGGTATAGTGACAGTACATGAGTATTTCATCATTGTCCTCATGAATATCTGTCTTGGATGATGAAAAAGGTGTATTTTCATGAAATGATGCATCAATGGAAACAAGATATCGACCAGTTCATTTTCATTTTCATTTACCCCAGTGCCACAAAGGCTCCCACCTGCGGTGGGGTAAGGGGGGGTTGGATGTACGCAGTCTTACCCCTGTACTAAAGCACAGAGAGACTGTTTCCGGATGACCCATAGTGAAAATCCCGTCCAAAATTGCATGGACTGACTGTTGCTTCATAACAAAGAAGCGCAGACAGTTTAGTGAGCCATTTTGCTTTATTCCATCATAATCTCAAGCCAAAAAATAATGAATCTTTGGCTCCATTGCGAATGATGGAAATGAACAAGATATCGACCAGTACTTGGACAAAAACATCTATACCCCTTCTGAACTCGAGAATAACCCAAGAAAATACATTTTGATGATTTGGGGTCTAACTTTGTAACATGGGGATTAGCGTCTCTAACAAAGCAAGTGCAACCAAATATTTTAGGTGGGATAGGAAAAAGCTCTTTATTTGGAAATAAGCGGTGATAAGGAGCTTTACCGTTTAAAACAGAAGACGGCATACGGTTTATCAAAAAACATGCGGTAGACATGGCATCCGCCCAAAACTGTTTAGGCACATTCATTTGGAATAGAAGAGTCCTTGCAGTTTCTAACAGATGTCGATTCTTTCTTTCAGTGACTCCATTTTGAGGAGGTGTGTCTACGCATGAAATTTGATGAATAATGCCATTTTGAAGCATACAAGATTTAAATGGAGTAAAGAGATATTCTTGGGCATTGTCTCCCCTCACCACACGAACATGAACATTAAATTGAGTTTTAATTTCAGCACAAAATGCAGAAAAATGAGTAATATAAACTAGTTGAAATATAAACTAGAATAAACTTTGTGATAATAAATTTTGACTGATTATCAAGAGAATTTGATTGACCAGGTGGAGTGAAAGGAATATAATTTGATTGATTATCAGAATATATTATTCTGATTTTGAAATATAAACTAGAATAATCTAGTTGAAATGGATGGCTCTGATACCATGTTGAAATATTAACTAGAATAATATTGAAGAGTGGAGGAAAATTTTTCTGTGTATTTCATTAGTTGTGGAAGTCCCTATAAATATACATTACAAATAGAATATTCCTATATAAGATTCTATACAATAATAATATCTATGGTATATTCCTAATATATTCTAAAGCATATTCTAAAGTATATTCTAATATACTTTCACAATTTGCATCATTCCATAGAACATCTGAAGTTGTGTCAATATATGGATATTTTAGTTTTTGCCACACTGCATTTAAAAGGGGGGAATTCCATAAATAGGACTTAGGATGTTTTTAATTGGGCTGAATTTTTCTAGTCTGATCTGATCTGGTAGATGTATGTTTTATTTGTATTTTACAAATGTCGAAGTCTGGTCTGAGACTGAAACCAGTCTAATTCAAAACATCCTTACACATAATTGGTTTATGTAAATAGGACTATTAATTATATTTTTCCAGAAAACATGACTCATTTTCTCCTGCAAGAAGAATTTGTTTTCTTTTTTAGAACTAAGCCAGTTGTATTTTTAGCATACAATAAGGATACTCTTATTTGTGTACATGACCCATGCTATACTCCTATTTGCAGTAACTTATTAAGAAAATCTGAGAGTTGGGGCTTGAGAAATGACCAGGGCTGTTTACCGACTTAACCTATTTATTCTAAACTATAATTCTCATGATAGCTTCTAACCATGGTGCAGGTTGGTGTGCCTGTTTATACAGCAGGAACTGACATTAAACCTGTAGATATAGCTCGGCAAGGTTTAGCAGAGGCCAAAATAAAGAAAATAGATGTGGTCATTATGGATACAGCTGGAAGGCTTCAGGTTATATGATTTTATTATGGTGCTCTCCCAGTAATTTGTGAAAAGTGTGTCCCTCTCTCATCCTTTCTTATTCTTCTTCTTCACCAGATAGATAAAGAGATGATGGATGAACTGAAGGATGTTAAACGAGTACTGAACCCTATGGAAGTTTTACTTGTAGTGGATGCGATGACCGGCCAACAAGCAGCAGGTACTGTAGAAAGAATTCGAGAAAGAAATCTTTATTTAGTTTATTTATTCTGTATAATACAAGGAGAAGATTAAAGAATATATATAGCTAGAGAAAAGAGAAATAAGGAAGGAATCCTCCTAATTAAGGTTCCCTTAAAAAAGGGATATTTAGAGATTCTGAGATCTTTGAGATATCTCCTCATAAATACACAAACAGGTGAGTAATTAGAATAATCTGTAATAATCTACAGGTACTTTTATCTTAATAAATGAGAATTATTAAACCACATTTATAGCAATATGTTTATCACATTTAGGCCTCTTTAATGGAATGAAATAAGTCAGAGCGAGCCTAAACGCTTCCTCCTATTGCACCTGATTTGATTTTCTTTTTACTAAAAGTTATACTGATATAATCCTTCCCTCCCAAAAATCTCTTTCCATTTTGACTTGACACACTTCTTAAGAAAGTGAAGCTGTATGATTGTGTTTGACCTAAAAAGCTAAAGTTAGAAACGATACCATCCTCACAAAAAAATGTGAAGAAAATCTTGGGACATTCCCAAAAGGAAAGTGGGAAGAAAATAATGGGGCAGAGGAAGTAGTGAATTCCCAAAGAAATTATTTGGTTTACACTCTATGGCTATATGATATGATTGGTTATTTGCCATTTCCTTATTGAAAATGACATTGCATTGTTTATGGTTCTCTTATACTGAACTTCAATTTTTTTTAATTCTTTAAAGTCATACCATCTTTAAGTGGATTGTCTTGAAATTTACTGATCTTCTGCCTTTGATATTCTTTGGTGCAACTGTAGCTTTGGTGTCATCATTCAATCTTGAAGTTGGAATATCTGGTGCCATTATGACAAAACTAGATGGGGATTCTAGAGGTGGAGCAGCTTTGTGTGTAAAAGAGGTTGTCTTATTACTAAATAATAAAATGGAATTATTTGCTGAACACTTTTATTCTCATGTAGTAGCCAATGACAAGTGCATATACACTTTTATAGCTTTTAACAGCTAGTTCTCATTGTTGAAACAGTTGCGAGTTGCCACCCCTTGGTGCATAGGGTCCAATTTGAACCAGAAATATTAGGGCCAAGGAAGAGAGAAGAAAATAAAATTTGTGAAATGAAGGATAGACTTAAAGTTTCAAGCTGAGTAATTTATTTTACATATTTAGTCAAAGTGTCAAACTCTATCTATTTCAATAAATCTATTTTACATATTTGTTCACGGTTTCACACTCTATCTATTCCAATTAAAAATAGTTGTTTTATAATTTTTATTATCATATTTCATTTTCCTTTGCATTTTCCAAATTCCAAGGTAAAGCCAAAATTAGGAAAGTAACCTCCCTTACATCTTCCCTTCACCTAGCAGTTTCCATTGTTCAAACATACCCTCTAACTTAATGGCGATTGAAACTTGGTTTTGCTTCGGAGTTAGCAATGATACTGTTACAGGTTTCAGGAAAGCCAATCAAGCTTGTAGGAAGGGGTGAGCGCATGGAAGACCTTGAACCTTTCTATCCCAATCGTATGGCTGGACGAATCTTAGGGATGGGAGATGTTCTATCATTTGTGGAGAAGGCCGAAGAAGTCGTAGGTCTTCTTTTTTTATTTATTTAATTACTTACTTTAATACTTATTTACTTACTTAATAATTTCATTTTCATTTTCATTTACCCCAGTGCCGCACAGGCTCCCACCTACGGTGGGGTAAGGGGGGGTCGGATGTACGCAATCTTACTTAATAATTAATTAATTAATTAAATTATTTTTGTTTGTTTAATATTTCCATCATTTGCAATGGAGCCAAAGATTCATTATTTTTTGGCTTGAGATTATGATGGAATAAAGCAAAATAACTCATTAAACTGTCTGCGCTTCTTTGTTATGAATCAGCCGTCAGTCCATACAATTTTGGACGGTATTTTCACTATGGGTCATCCGGAAACGGTCTCTTTGTGGTTTAGTACAGGGGTAAGACTGCGTACATCCAACCCCCCCTTACCCCACCGTAGGTGGGAGCCTTTGCGGCACTGGGGTAAATGAAAATGAAATGAAATGAAATGATTTTTGTTTGTTTAATATTTGATCTCTGTTCAGATGCGTCAAGAAGAAGCTGAGGAGTTGCAGAAGAAAATAATGAGTTCTAAATTTGACTTCAATGACTTCCTGAAGCAAATCCGCGCAATTGCACAGATGGGTTCCATGGCTCGGGTTATAGGAATGGTTCCCGGAATGTCTAAGGTATAATGAGATAGACTGATAGACCTGGCTTTAACATGCTTTGTGCCTTCCTGTTTCATTTTACAGTTTTACCTATACTAAGGTGCCATTGGATGCAAAGTTAATTATTTCTGTCTCCCAGATTACTCCTGCACAAATCCGAGAGGCGGAAAAGAGCTTTAAGATAATGGAAAGGGTGATAGAAGCAATGACTCCTGGTTTGTTATGCTTTTTTACTTGCTAAAACTTGTGTTAAAGTTCGTAAGCCATCTCACAGCCCTTTTGGTTGGGGCTGAAAAAGAGTAAACAAATTTCAAGATTGATGTGTTCCAGCCAACATGTTAAGTCATCCATACAGGTCAAATATGACCTTTTAGGATGGTTCTCCAAGTTTTAATGCAGACCAATGTAATATAATCAAAACAAATGGGAAAACTTTGGTCCTGTTTGGTAGCACTAAATCACTAAGTGGCTTATTCTGTTTATCTACAACAGAATAATCAGAAAAAGTAAGTGAAGTTTTCTATACTTTTATCATCAATAGAACGTGTTTATACTAGAGGTACAACCATATATTTATATAAGTTCTCTCTTCAGTGTGTCTTTTGACTCTGTTCAGAACTGTAGGTGATTGTCTAGATACTGAACATAAATAAATATAAACTGAACAGACAACAAGTACTAATTACAACCTGAATGGGCTAAAGACTCGTAATTACAGAAATAATAAAGTAATTCCTAGACTAAGGATGTCTCTTCGATTTGTCAACAGATATGTCAATAGTAAGCTTTCAACTTGCCTATTTTGATGAGATTTATTTTACTGAACGTTTTTCCTTCGAAAAATCCATCAAAATTAGCCATTTCAGCTGATTAATCCTTATAGAACGGTCTCTTGGTTGCTTCATTATTCTGCAAAAGGGTACTGAATAACACACTGTTTTCGCGCCTTTGTGTACATGTTGATGGTTTATATCTGAACTCAAGTGTTTTTCCACAGAGGAGAGGGAGAACCCTGACCTGTTGGCCAACTCTCCAGTTAAGAGAAAACGAATTGCTCAAGAGTGTGGAAAAACTGAGCAGCAGGTAGGTGATTACAGTGTAGCAAAATTGGCATTGATTCTTCTTCATTCAATACTAAACTAATCCGCACAATTTCAAATTCTTAGGTCAGCAAAATTCTCTCTCAGTTTTTTCAAGCACGTGCTCATATGAAGAATCTAATGGGTGCAATGGAGGATGGGTCTGTTCCTAAACTTGAAGAGGCAACAAAATTGGTACAGCAGGTGCTTACGTTATGTACATATATGTAGATTCTCTACTTTTTTAAGTCTTAAGCTTGTGAGATGCCATGGGTTTAATAGGAGGCACTTCTGTACTTTCCATTCAATTAAAAGACTAGTAAAGCAATTGCCATGAAAGTGTAATATTCCCAGGGGGTACGGTCATAGTTTCAGTATCACACCCAATGGATGGTCCATCCTCACGGAAACCGTGACTTGTCACATCCCAGGATGTATCCAATTTATTTCATTTCAAATAAAGGCTGTTAATATTAGGGGTAGACTAGTAAAGCTTAATCTCTTTTTATTGCCTTGGTAAACGCTAAACAGACCTCTGCTGGAACTGCAAGGAGGAAGCGGAAATCAACTTTGAAGAAGCTATTTACAGACTCTGCTTCAGCAAGACCAAACGCTCGCGGTTTTGGAGCCAAATAAGGAATCAGGAAATCCTTTTCTGCTTTTGAGCATAGTTGAAGAAGAGTTTCTTTTTTGCTAGTATCATCCTATAGCCCCTATTTCAAGCATCAAATTACCCTTCTTTCAGGAAGGGACTATAGGGAAATTAAAAGCTTGAATGTTATCTCCTTGCATGCTCTTAATGTACATGTTTGGTTCCTCCTATGAATATAGACATACGTAGTATGAAACTTGCTTCCTCTTTTAGTATGCAGACACATTATGTTTTTACTTGGTTTTTACTTGGACTGTAATTTGCTGGTCTGGTCTGGTCTGTTTAAGTCTTGTTTGGTCTGGTAAACGTCTGGTCTCTGTGTATTTTATAACTACGGAAGTCAAGTCTGGTCTGGTCTAGTTTGTTTAAGTCCAGTCTGGTCTGGTTTGTTTAAGTCTCGTCTAAGTCTCGTCTGAGACTGAAAACAATCCAAGTAAAAAAACATCCACAATCATCATATAATCATACCACATAAAAACAAACTAAAAACACTGGTTGTTTGATATAATCATATAATCTTCCAATACCCTATTTATTCCCTAAACTAACTAAAGTAGGAGTGGACAGAGTAGACACTATATAATCTTGCTGAGTGTACAAAATATGCTGGAACTTGGAAGCAGCCGTACATATTTTTATTGCCAAGAGTTTTTTTTAATGTTGATCCTTTTGTAATCTTCTTTATGTTAAATAAATTGTAATACATTTTGAAACTGAAATAAAAACCAGATTTATAAAATGGCAATACTCGTTTTTTTAATTTTGGAATGCGTATAATAATGTGTCATTATTTTGTATTAGTCATAAATAAGTAAAGTTAAAATTATTTTTCTGCCTGAATTTGGGAAATAAGATTGCTTTAATTATTTTCACATAATAATTTACTCTGTATTTATTTTATTAGTAAATATACTTTTCAAACACTGTTTTCATTATTTTGTAGTGGTAGAGCACTAGAGCCTAACACAGTCTGGGGAAAGGTTGGTACGCGGGTTCATCTCCGGTGTACGTATTAGCTTCAGCTGTGAGGGGATCCTTAGACGGAGGCAGCCGTTTGCTTGGTGGCAAGGGGGGCTAGGGATGGATTGGGACCGGGTCGGACCGAGCCTAAATAGTGCCGGGTTAGGCTCTGGGACGGGATTGATCAATAAATTAAAAAATTATGCAATCAAGCTTGGGATAGGCTCGAGAACGGCCCAAAAAATGAGCCTGAAGCTCCCTTATAGCCAGCGGACCGGGACCAGGCCTATACATTAGCGGGCGGGGCCAGGCCTATACATTAGCGGGGGGGCGGGCCTAAACAGTATCGGGCTCGGGTCGGGCTGACCCGTCCCAGTCCATCCCTACAAGGGACCTTCGAGCAATGATGGCAACAATGACTTCGGTACCCTATTTTTCGTAGCTAGGTCAAGTTGGAACGAAGGGGCCATCTTTTGTATTCGTAGCGAGTCTACGACAGAGCTTGGGCGAATGGCACGCCTAGTGGTCACTGGTTTGGTTCCGTCCAAGTGATCAATGATTCTCTTTTTGATGGAGACGAAGGGCCAACACGGAAGATGCCTTGAGGTGCAGCCACTGGTGGTTCGGTGATAGTGATGTTCGCCAGTTCGGGTTCAAGTTTGAAGTCGATGAACTTTACAGAGGAGACTAGTGTTGGGCTCGAATGCATTCGATAAAGCTTAAGAAATATTTTTGAGTGTAAAATTTTAGGTGATATTCGATAATAAGCTTGTACTCGAATAATTCGATAAGTATTCGATTCGATAATCATAATAATTAAGTTCATAAAATTGTACTAATTACAATTAAATTTTGATATATATATGTATGTAGAGAGAGAGGAAGAGAGAGAGAGAGGGAGAGAGAGAGTCCTTTTCTAGTTAGGCGCACCTGACAGGGAGCTCCGTGCGGACTTGCCCGTTTGAGGGTCTTCCCAAAGGAATTTTTTGATGAATTTTTTTGAGCGTGTTTCTCATCCAGCCTAGTTTATGCATGCCAAATTTCAGCTCAAAATTCGATCAGGAAGGCAGTCAAATAAATTCTTGAAACATACTGCATATTCTGTTATGCTTCAAAAATTTATTTGACTGCCTTCCTGATCGAATTTTGAGCTTAAATTTGGTATGCATAAACTAGACTTGATGAGGAACACCCTTAGAAAATTTTCATAAAACAATCTACCGGAAGGCCCTCAAATGGTCAAGTCCACACGGCGTTCCTTGCGTGTGTGTGTGTGTGCGCGCGCGCGCGTGCGTGTGCGTGTGCGTGTGCAAGTGCGTTTGCGCGCATATGTATGTATGTGTGTGTGCGCGCGCGCGTGCGTGTGCGTGTGCAAGTGCGTTTGCGCGCATATGTATGTATGTGTGTGTGTGTGCGCGCGCGTGCGTGTGCGTGTGCAAGTGCGTTTGCGCGCATATGTATGTATGTGTGTGTGTGCGCGTGCGTGCGTGTGCGTGTGCAAGTGCGTTTGCGCGCATATGTATGTATGTATCTGTGTGTGTGCATGCGTGCGTGCATGCATACATATATGTATGTATGTATGTATGTATGTGTGTATGTGTGTATGTGTGTATGTGTGTATGTGTGTATGTGTGTATGGATGGATGGATGTATGTATGGATGGATGTATGTATGGATGGATGGATGGATGTATGTATGTATGTATGTATGTATGTATGTATGTATGTATGTATGTATGTATGTATGTATGTATGTATGGATGGATGGATGGATGGATGGATGGATGTATGTATGTATGTATGTATGTATGTATGTATGTATGTATGTATGTATGTATGTATGTATGTATGTATGTATGTATGTATGTATGTATGTATGCATGCATGCATGCATGCATGTATGTATGTATGTATGTATGTATGTATGTATGTATGTCATTCCTATAATTTCAGTGTGTTCGATAGGCTCGAGCTTAAACATAATCGAATACTACTATGTTTGAGCTCAGCTCGATTAATTACTCGAACTTAAAACTCAGCTCATGTTCGAGTTCGAAACTCGATAAACGCAGTTCATTAGGTTTGAAATCGAGTTCGAACTCGTATAGTTCAAAAAATGCTCGATTAGTAAAAAACAATACTACAGTATACTCCAGTTTCTTTAATCACTTTGAAAAAATATATTTCGTCCATTAGATTTCTGCCACGTGGCAAACAATTGTTTTTATAAAATGTTATATTTTTCATTTGTGCTCTAACTTTGCGTCAAATTAAATATTTTTTATGATTTTTTAAAAGACATCATTGTCTTTTATTTAAATTTGGAAGAATGACATAGATATTACTCTACAGTTTTCCTTGGATAAAAATATGACCAAAATTCATGTAGACAAAAAAGGGAGTAAAATTTCAACCGTTTCCGTCCAGTCTTGTTCATCTCTCAGATTTGTGCATAGTAAAATTTCCCTGCCCATAGTTCACCTCCTAGATCTACTCTTCCACCACATCGACACCTCCAGTCTTGGTGCTCTGGCGAAGGTACTTCGTCGCCTCCACCAGCGCGTCGACGCCGCTCTTGGTTGCTCCGCCAAAGGTAGCAAGAGTTTCTCTCATATATCTGCTTCTCCTTTCTTCTTCACTGTGTCTCCTTACGAAGGCTATAACATCTACAATTCAGAGATGGTGGCGGCTACGGTTCGGCGATGATGGCGGCTACAGTTCAACGATGACAGCGACTAAGTTCGACAATGGACGACGGCTTGCAGGTGGAGGTGCGGCGGTTGGGGATGGGGCTAGGGTTGGGAAGGTTGGCTGAACAGGTACCTGGCCGCTGGGAAGGGCGCTGGGGATGGGGGTTGTGGCAGGGGAAGGGGAGGGGGTGTGGCTGGGGCTGCGTACTGCGCAGTGCTAGCCTGTGTCGGCGGCGGTGGGAGGCGCTGGCGGCGGCGGGCGGGGGGGGGGGGGGCAATGGGCTGGATGGTGGTCACTGATTTGGGGTGCTGGGGCATGGGGATGGGGAGGGACATGTCAATCTACAAGAGACGACAGTGATGGTTGGACGACGGTTCCAGCGGGTGGGTGGCAGCGATGTTGGATTGTGATTGTGTTGCCGGAAAAGGTCGCTAGAAAAATCTCCGGCAATCACAGTGACATGCTTTACGACGATAGTGACATCCGTAAGTGACTCGAAAATCGATAGTGACATTAAATAGTGACATAAAAATTTGAAAGTGACATAAAAATTTGGTAGTGACATAAAAATTTGACAGTGATATCATGTTTTTCCAAATATATGACCTACTTAGTCACTTTTTTATCCTTTTGAAAAAATTGTCACATTTTTGGAATTTGACTTTAATTTAGTACTCCTTTCAAAAAGCCTTTTAAAATTTTCAAGGAAAAAGCCTTTTAATTTTTTCAAAAAGTTCGTTCTGGTTTAATAAATATACCTGTATTCTACATATCAAGATCTAATTTATTCTTGTCCGATTTGATTGGATGCATGTGATATATGTACCTCATTGGTATAAAATTAAAAGAAGAAGCTATTTTTAAAACAATCTTCAAATTCATTTGCCATTATATTTATGATTAAAATCTTCTAAAAGTACTCTCGTATGTGACAAAGAAATATTTTTTAAACAAAAAGTTAGGGTTAAAATAGGAGTTATTATTTGTAATTGGACAAAAATACCCCGAACCTTGTCAAAACTCACTGCAGCGGACAGAACGATGGATCGCCGTTAGTCGCCGGACCGCTGCCAGTCATCGACCACGGCTGCCGCCACTGTCGCCGTTGAACTGGTCACCGTTGAACTGGCCGCCACTGCAGATTTGACCGGCGGCGCTACAAATCTAGTCATCACCGCCACAGATCTGGCCACCACCGCCGTAGATCTTGCAGATCTGGCGGTCGCCCGTCACCGGTGCTGTAAATCCGGCCTCTGTCGCTGCAGATCCAGGCTCCGCCGCGGCAGATCAAGGAGCCCTCGGCGCTGATGCCAACACTGGTATTAGAATGTCAACATGAAACGAGAATGCCATCTTAATGGCATTTTCAAAGAAAAATATGGCATTCAGAGGGGAAAAAATGCCATTTTGATTGCATTTTTAGAGTATAACTTGGCATTTTTTCGCGAACAAAGCACATTCAGAGAAGCATATCAATTATTTTGCAACTAGCACGAAATAGAAGACGAGGAAGGCAGACCTAGAGAAAAAGAGGCCGAGGAGAAAGAAGGACCGTGAGAACAACAAGATAGTTTACTCTAGCCATCAAATCTGAACTGACTACTTGCTGAAGCTCCGAACTGGCCATCGACGCTACTCATTGTACTAGGAAGCTCATCGCTGCAGACTGGAGATGATGATTGGAGAAGAAAGGATCGCCGCCCCTCGCTGCACCTAGAAGTTCACTGTCTTGAAACCTTATCTGAGAGGGATTATGAGCGGATGGGAGAAGATGAGGAGGAGGTGGGAGTAGATGGTTTGCAGGACGAAGAAAGGGTGAGCGAAGAAGATGAGAGCCGATTGCTGTTATGCGTGAGGAAAAAAATAGAAGAAGGGTAATTTTGGAACAAAAGTCCTATTTAGAGAATAAAATACATCTATTCTTATTTTGAAATTTCAACACCAATTTAGTCCCATTTAGGACAAAATTCCCTAAATAGTTATGATATCATAAAGGAAAAAATGAAAACATAGAGAATTCCATAAATAGGAGTAAAAAAGTTTTGAAATTCCAAAATAGGAGTATCATGTTTTTTATTCCTTGAATAAGAGTAAATTTCTGTCAAGTTTGACATTACTACTAGATCTTAAAACATGCCATTTTTTCCAAACTTTGCAGATTACTTCTATTCGAGAAATAAAAAACATGATACTCCTATTTTAGAATTTCAAAACATTTTTATTCCTATTTAGAACGATTTCTAAAACAATAATAATTTATGATAAAATTCATTACGGGAAGTAATTTAGCTAGGCTGCTACCAAGGGTGCGCCGAGAAATAAAGATGGTGGGCTGATAACACCCTTTTTGTTAGATTAATTAATTAAATAGACTAGGGCTCGAGAGAGGACCAATAACCTACGCCAAGCGAACCAGCGCCGCATCCTTATTCTTCTGCAGTTTCTCCCTGGGATACGTTCGTAACCCGGTATATTCTACTCTTACCTTCGATTTCGTTGGCATCGTCTCCGAACCCAGATCTCATCCTCATCCATTATACTCCTTTTTCTAATTTTGGTGGGTTTTAGTGTTACTTCGTTTGTTTACGGTCTTCAGATATCAACTAAGGTCCTTGCAAAAAAAAAGATATCAACTTAGGTCTCACGTACGCTGTACTATACTGTATTATTCTGGAAATTAGTTGTTATTTATTTATTTTGTTATTTCCAATTAATGGACCTGGGTGACCTCAAAATTTTATTTTTGATTCAATTTGAGCTCTAACAAAAATCCTATCAGTTTTTCTTTGATTGAAGACACGTAAAATGTGTTCTTTTTGGGATTTTGTTTTACAGGCGGATTATCTTTGTTTTATTGGGTTTTGTTTTTTCTAGGTTACAAGATCCTTGCTTGGTGAAGGTATAAGGCATCAACGTTGCATCATCTTTGCTCTTCTTAAGAAATCGTGTTTACCTTGAGAAGGTATATTCCACTATTTGTTGTTTTTATATGTATATGTATACGCGTGTATGTATAGCTCTGTGTCATCCATTTAGATTGTGTACACATGGGTATGTGAATTAGTCTAAACATCCATTTGTATTATGATGATTTTGGGAAATGAATACATTCAGTCTTTTATTGTAGACATTGCAGATGCATTAACGTTATCTAAAATTTTGTTTTGTTTAACCAAGTATTCTAATACAATCTATCTAAGATAATACTAATTATAACGTTTCACCAATTTTATGCCAGTCGAATGCTTCATCTATCCTTAAAAATATGCTGGCTTGGGAAATATAATTTCATAGTTTTTTGTTTAATAATCTTTCATTTATTTGTTTCTCAAGCAAAAATTTCCATATCTACTTGTGTTGTCCTATCCTATTTACAACTAGATAAGGAAGGCACAAAATAGTATCCACTTTATCTTATGTTTAGTGAAAAAGACGCTTAAAGAATAACATGTGTAGATTGCGCCTTCTTTATGTAGTTATTGTATGTAACCCATAAGCTTCATCATTGGTGGACAATCCCTTTCCTAGTATTCTGTACTTCATCCATTAGTCTTAGATGATTGTAGATGGTATACAATGAGCTTTCTTTCCAGGAAAATGTACGCCAATATTTATCAAGATAACCAAACCCTAAAATGCATGTGGTATTTTGAAAAGTTATTTTTGTTATACGCTTAAAAGCTGTTAAAAATAGGATGAACGAGTGAATCTGAGATGCCTAAAGTGTCTTAGGAATCAGTTTTAAATTTTGCAGTACACATAGACACTCGGTTTTGAAAATGTAAATTTGCTAATATTCACTTCCTAAAAATAGCAATGCTCATATTTAAGTACCATCAACCAACATGAAAAAAGTTTGTACAATTACCTCGCAATGTGAAAATCCTGTTTCGCACTCTCCCATTTGTATGTGTGCTGCAGCCGGTAATGACACCACAATAGAGAATAGTAATTATCTATTACATACAGTGTGACCACTGAGCAGGGTTCCTCCCTGTCTTGGTGACAGCAGTGCGATGACAAGGGTAAGTTCACGATTTTGTTCCTTCGTCCCAGGCTCTATCGAATCATCTTCTATAGGGATTAAATTTTTTCTCTTTACTTTTATATCTTGATGCTCTCTTTGTAATCCTCTGTTTAACCTTTTTAGAGTCTCACGACTGTCTTTTGGGTCTCCAGTCTCCACTATATCTATTATGGATTCTAGTTTTCAATGTTTCTCCAACCAACTACCATTTTCTTCACCCAGCTGGCCATCTTCCGCATTTTATGTGAGAACTCATTGCAGATTAATAAACCACGTTCATAACGTACATAACTGTTACTAAGGCTTGTTAGGGGTTTAGTGTGGACTATGGAAACATGTTTAATGTATGGGCCTTTTATTAAATAAATACACTGGGCCTTTCTTAACTTACAACCTATTAAAAAGATTAGAAACAAAGGCAATTGTGTTTCAGAAAACGGCTTAAAGCTGCTTGCCTCAAGGCACGCCTCAAGGTTTATGCCTCAACTTTTCAGGCGTAAGCCTCTTGACCTCTGGAAAAAATCTAAACCTGTTACCTTCTCTGTACGGCTCACCTTTTGGCATGCCTCAAAACCTGCCCCGTAAGAGCCTTTTTACACCATGTATGGGATTGACTGGGGTATTCTAGGTTGTCAAGGTTTTTCAGTTCTTGACTTCTTGCCCATACTGGGTTTTTCATTGAGTGACCCAATATTCAGACCGGTTCACCAGTTTCTGTTCAACCTGGCTGGTCCGGTCCCTTTTTAATCATAGTCTAAAACTAGCGTTATAAAACACTCTACCAAATAAGTCTGTGAGCTTTTCCTAGATGATATTCTCTATACCTTTTTATCCGAGGGATCCTCAAGATGCAATCTTGGTAGCTTCCTTAAAATGTGGTTATGAAGGTTTAATCCTTGGTAGCTTCCTTAAAATGTGGTTATGAAACTGCAAACATTGATGTTTGTACTTCCATGCAGTATTTAAGAAAAGAGACAATTCACTTTAAGTTCTGCAGTGCTAAGCAAAGTCGCTTTGGTATGCTTTTTGGTTTAAGAAACTTAACTTTGGACTCTACTACAATCTCTACGATATCTAGTTTACATTGAAGTAGTGAACTTTGTCAATTGACATAATTCATGTAGGGAAAATGTGAATTCATTCACTCATTGTGGCATTAGTGTTTTTTCTTAAGGAGTGATCTGATTGGGAATGTGCATTCAAATGCATTTGATGCTACTCATGTACCAGTACATTCACAGAATGTGCATTAATTTACTGCAGGGAGGTATCATATACAGGTTTGGGCATTAGATTTGACCAAATCCCAATGAGCATTCTGTTGATGTCCACTTGTATTCTATAATTTTCATTTGGATGCCTGGATTTGTTGCTAACTAACTTTCCTTCCAAAATCATATCACCTGTAGCTCTGTTTCACAACATTGCTGTTTTTCTTCTTCTCTTTTCTCCTTTTCCGTTAGACCGTTACTATTTGTTTGTGAATACATTGATCCTAGCTGTAATATTGACCTTCCAGCCATCAATATCTACATTTCAGAAATTCATTGCTTCATTTATGCACTTGCTGAGAGATGTCACCCTCTTATAAATTCATTCATTCAGCATTCTCTCTTAATTGTCTTTGTTTGTATCTTTGTAGTATTTGTTAACCCTTAATGTAATTGAGCTCATCGCATTGAAACTTCATTCATACTTCATGGAGCAAATTCACTTGAGACCCCTCTTCGGAAATCCACTTGATCTTAATTTTTATTCCCACCTTTCCACGTTTTTCTTCATTTTATTCCAAAATCTTCTGGCTTCTGTGCTTCCGTCAGAGTTGCTGCTCAAACTTATCTTTCTAGATATATTAGATGCCGAGGACAAGAGCTGGTGCTGCCTCTTCTGTTTTAAGGGAGCCTGAAAAGATAATTGAGGCTGAAGAGCAAATTGACTTTGATGGAGACAACGAAGACGTAGAGGAAGAGGTTGAATATGAAGAAGTGGAAGAAGAGGTGGAAGAAGAGGTAGAAGAAGATGAGGAAGAAGAGGAGGAGGAAGAGGAAGAGGAGGAAGAGGATTCTGGTAGACTAAAGCATACAGACGCTGTGGGATTGGATGCTGATCTTGAAGTAGAAGAAAATAGTAATGATAAAAAGCATGCTGAGCTTCTTGCACTTCCTCCTCATGGGTCAGAAGTATACTTAGGTGGTATTAGTCAAGATGTATCTGAAGGTGACGTGAGGCAATTTTTTGACTCCATAGGGGAAGTTGTGGAGGTAACTTCTTTTCCAATGCACTACACGTGATATGTTTAATTTCCAAATTTACATGGTTGTTGCTTATGGGTTACAGGTTAGGATAATGAAGGGAAAGGAACCTAATCAGAACAAAGGGTATGCTTTTGTCACTTTCAGGGAAAAAGAATTGGCTTCCAAGGCAATTGAGGAGCTAAATAATACTGAATTCAAGGTGAGTGAATTCTTCTTTTTCTTCCATGTTATCTAAGCATGTTTTATCTATAATTTGTAATGTAAGTTGCAGAGTATTTGCTGTCAACTGTTTCTCTCTGTTGGAACTTGTATATTTTTATATTACCATTATTCATTTTTCAAACATTAAGAGCATGTATCTTGCAAACAAAAAAACCCTTTCTGCACAGCATTTACGGGTTCTGATTAGTCATTTCTCACATCATATATAATTTAACTGTTTATTAGGGAAGAAAGGTAAAGTGCTCTGCAGCTCAAGCAAAAAATCGTCTTTTCATTGGTAATATTCCTAGACATTGGGTGGTGGAAGATCTTAAAAGGGTTGCCAACAAGACTGGGCCTGGTGTTATTAATGTGGAAATGGTGAAGGTTTGTCTGCACGTCCTATCATTAAAAAATTTCCATGCATGTCCACAGGTCATCTGATGCTTAATGTGTGAATAGTTTGGTATACACTTTCTTACGAAGGCCAAATCATTTTTTAATCATGTATCATTTTAAGTCTTGCTGCAGGATCCGCAGAACTCAAGTCGAAATCGTGGTTTTGCTTTCATTGAGTACTATAATAATGCATGTGCTGAGTATTCACGCCAGAGAATGTCTGACCCAAAATTTAAGCTTGATGATAATGCCCCAACCGTGAGCTGGGCTGATCCAAAAAACACAGATTCTTCTGCTGCTTCTCAGGTTGCCACCTGAAATATTCTGTTGACATCCAACTTCTTTCCATTTTCTTTTTTGTTAATGTTTAAATTCTTATATTGGGCAAATAGTCTTGCTATCATTTTTAGTTCTTTTTGCAACTGCTGCCATCTTTAAGGGATTCATGCTCGTAAAATGTTCCACTAGGGCAAAATGATAATTGATTATGTCCACTTTCTCATTGCAACCTGACTAAACTACTTGGTGTCATTTATAATGCTTTTTTCCATCGTCAATATAATTTGTGGGTTGGTGCTTTTCTTCTGGGTATACCACTCTGTGTTGGACTGACATTTTAACGTACTTATTCTTTCACAAAATTACAAGTGTGTCATGTCTGGTCTCATGCTTGAGCTCTACAAAAGGATTGAGGAGAGTCTTGTAATAAATTAATACTTAGGGTTTTATTTACTTAGCCACTAAGACCAGTAAGATGTATAATTAGGGCTTTAACTTTCACCAACGATATCATTGAGCTTCAAGCTTAACTGCATAAAATTTTACAAAAGATTGAATCTTTGTACTAGGACAAAACTATTCCCCAGCAGGCCCCATCAGACAAGTCTTCTTTTCTTACTATCACTCTCTGACTCATAACAATTTGGTATCAGAGCCATTTCCTCCTGTCCATTTCATCATCTTCTATACCATTCTTATCTGTCAAAGAAACTAAAACAACTTTCATTTCGTTCCATACCCTTCTATTTTTCATCCCCAGAAAAACAGGTGAAAAAAGTGATACTTTTTTTTTCCACATAATTCTTTTTCATCATTCACAAGGCCTCTGGCTGTACCCGATATCAGGCTTACTGAAGGTGCATGTTGACTTATCAGAGTCACATTAGGTAATACATTCACTAGAATGTATAATTCCCAGGAAGAGTCTCCTGCAAGTTGTCAACACCACCCTCACATTGTCAGTTGTCACATTAGGTTTTTAAATTTTGATGACGAGTGTGATTTACTTTATACACCGCTATACATAATAGAGAAAAATAGGAAAAACAATAGCAAGTCTTTGCAAACTCTGTAATTTATGTTGTTCTGATGATGAGTATGATTTACTTTGTGTTTTTGCTGAGACATCGGTTAAACATATTGAAAATTTGAAGTGTAACGGAGTTGAGCATGTCTGAATTTATTTGATTTCACGTAAAAAAAGGGTTTACTCCAAGTGGAAGGTTAATCAAGAAAGCTTTTGGTTTGAATTGAGTGATCAAATTACTCAACCGCGTATGAACATGTTGTGTATGACCAAGGGAATTTTACATTGCTTCAGGTTAAAGCTGTGTATGTAAAAAACTTGCCCAAACAAATTACTCAAGATGAGCTAAAAAGTTTATTCCAGCATCATGGGAAGATTACTAAAGTTGTTCTACCCCCAGCTAAAGCTGGGCAGGAACAGAACAGGTATGGTTTTGTCCACTTCGCTGAAAGATCTAGTGCCATGAAAGCGCTGAAGAACACTGAGAAATATGAAATCGATGGTGATTGGAACTCTTTCGCTCTTGTTACTTGAATTTATTATTTCATGAAAACATTGTATTAGGGCTCTGGTGAATTTACTATGCTTGACCATGATGTCCAATTCCACAATAGGTAAAGTTCTGGACTGCTCACTCGCAAAGCCACAGGCAGATCAGAGTGGTAGTGGGGGGTCAGTTTCAAATAGAGGAGTTGCACCTCCAACCTATCAACCTCGTATTGGATATGGATTGGGAGGGAGTCCTTATGGTGCCATAGGTGTGCGCGGCGCGCCTCTCGGTCAGGTATGATTCACAACCAATTTGAAGATTGGTCAAGTAAAGTTCAGTTTATGCTTGAATAATTCTGCCCTGCTCTTATACCTTCTCGACTTTGAAATAAACTTCTTTTGCTCCTTTTGGTTTTTCTAAAAATAAGTTTCATGTTTTGTGGTAAGGAATGAAATGTGTTTCTCATCATTTCACTTGTTTCTACCCAAATTTCAACCACATTTTTCCTTCTCAAGCACTTCCTTAATAGGCATTTCAAATTCAAACTAGAACTTTATTTCGAGATGCATGGAGCATTTTTGCAGCTTATTTTAATCTTTTAAGTGATTCCAGCTCATTGGAATAAATGAAGTATTATTTATTTTCCCTCCTTGAGTATAAAACTTGATTTTTTTGAGTAAAGGTTGACATGATCTATCCTTGAAGCAGACTCATGTTTCCAGAAACTTATTTGTGCAAAAGTAGTTCGGTTTTGAAAGTCAACTTTCATATTTAAGTAAATTTTCTTTAAAGACACGTGGAAAGCGGTTTTAGGGTACATGTGACCATTCATATATTGTAAAAGCTTGTACCCTGATCGAGTGTTTTGAAAATAAAAGTTGTACTTTGCTTGACAAATACTACCTCTGTCCCGCTATGATTGTCCCATTTTACCTTATCGGTCCGTCCCACTAAGATTGTCCCATACCAAATTTGGTAAAGTTTGTGTGGCTCTAAATCATTCTTACTTTATTCTTACTTTATCAATTCAATATCAGCCACATAAATCACTTTTTATTAATTTGCGTGCCACTCCCTCTTGTCCGATTGTTAGCGGGACAGAGGGAGTACTATTTTTGGGAGGCAGGAGGGTATATGCTTATCTTCATAATCATTGACAGAGATTAATCTTTTACAGCAATTACTTTATGGAAGAGGAGCCACGCCGCCTGCTGGCGTGGCAATGATGCCATTGCTTTTGCCTGATGGAAGGATCGGATATGTCTTGTAAGTATTTTCATTAATAGTAAAAACTAAAAAGTATAAATGTATAATATGGACTTGAGAGGGCATCTGACCAGACTTTCATGGGGAGAAGTTTAGCCCAATGGTAGTGATGACTAGGATCTTATAAGAATAGAGTTGGATCTGAAACTGTCTTTGGATGGCAGGCAACAGCCAGGAGTTATGCAAACTCCTCCACCTGCACCGCGAACGAACTTCGGTAACAGCGGGCGGAATTCAAGTGGAGGCGTTAGGCGGAGTGGCGGCAGTGACAGTGGGCGAGGTCGAGGACGAGGCCGATATAACCCTTACTAGTTCTCGTGGAGTTGTTTTGTACTCTGGAAATGCTTCTTTAAATTTATTAGCAATTTTTAAGGAACATGTGGACGTGGGCTTCCTCACCTGTAGTGGACAGTGGGAACCTCTAATGTTACATTCTTTCGATGCTATAATTATTGTATAATATTGGCTGCTAGGCTTGTACACATATATACCAACATTGTGGGCTTTGTGGCGTTAAATTGTACTCCCTCCGGTCCTAAATAAAGTTCATTGTTTGACTTAACATAAATTAAGAAAATAAATTTTACTTTACTGTAGAGTACACTGTTGTGACACTGTTTTGCACTGTTTTGCACTATTTTGATCTAGATAAATTGCCAAATAAGGAAGGGAGAAAAAGTGTGAACTTTATTTTGGACCGGCCCAAAAAAGAAAGTGTGAACTAGAAGTGGACTCGGGCCGGGTGGCTCGACCTAGAACCGGCTCGGGACCGGTCTGGGTTTGCCCAGCCCGGTGGTTTTACGGTGCGGGCTTGGGTCCGCTAAATGATGAACCGGCTCGGCTGGGCTTGGCCCGGTTCTGGGCCTTTTTTTTGTTTTTTCAATTTTTTTTCGGGGTTGGACTGGGTGTTTGGACCATTTGTGGTGGTGGGTGGTGGTGGTGGGGGGGGGGGGGGGGGTATTAGGGGATTAATTAGGAAAAAATAGGAAGTCGTATTGTAGTGGTGGTGGTGGTGGGGGGTATCCCAAGGCTTGGGAGCCCAACCTGTATTTTTCTTATAAATACTTTCTCTGGAGGTAGTTGTAGTGGTTGGAAAATCATTTATGGAAGCATTTACTTACCCTTCTCTCTCTAGCTCTCACCTCTCTCTAGAATATAATCTATCATTTGGTGCGCTCGTTGAGAGGTCAGAACAATCAAGTTAGCATCCTTCGTTGATGACGATGAACTCCACTTCGAGCTTGGCTCTATGGAGTCCATCACCGAATAGTACCGGGAGGGTTATGACCCCCTCGGAATCAATGGTGTCACCGGTGAAGCCGGCAAGAAAGGTCTTGATGGGCCGAAGGGACCCCCTTTCCAGGTGCAGCTCTCTGAAGGTGCTGAGAGCCTGAGATACATTACATTGATGGAGCTGCCCGTGTCAACGTAAGTTCTGTGGATGATAGTATAATTGATCTCCGTGCGGATGACGAGGGCATCCCTGTGTGGAGAGGACACCGGGGGGAGATCGGCGTTAGTGAAGGTGATGAGTTCCTCCCTCAGCCGCTTTACCGGGGGCATATGAATGACTTCCCCCACGTATAGCGATTGAGCCCACTTCTTCCTTTGGATGGTGGAGTCTCCCCCTGTGTTGCCACCGATGATCATGAGGATGTGTGACGAGCACTTTGTCACGGTGCGTCAAAATAAATTCAATACTAAACACTTATACGTAGTATAGCGTAGTAGAGTTCGTATCCACAGGGAAAGGAATGATTCTCTTTTTATGAAACTTAGTAAATAAAAGGGGGGATTTGGATTGAGTGATTTGATTTAATTAAAAACTAAGATGAACGACCTATATGAGATTTAATTCAAAGATAAAAAGGACTTGGCATTGCTACTTTCCACTTGTTGATATATTTTAGTCGATCATTGTTATATCTATAATTTATTTCCTCTCGAATACTCAATCGGGGAGTATATCCACTTCATCGAGGGTAGTTATTAACAACAACCGTCCATTAATAACTCTTACTATTAATCAAATATAGAACAACGCCTTATACCGATTTAATAGTAGCATTTAATCTTTCTAATTCCTTGATGAAATCAATTGAGATTGATAACCTCAACACAACGGTTTCGGTTTAACCAACAAAATTAATCCCTCTTAAGTTTATTAACCACGACCGTGCATTAATAAAGCGAAGTTACTTACTTATGAAACCATCAACGATTAACCATCGGTTCGTTGATCATTTCTAGTAATAATTAATATATGAAACAAAACTAGTTGATCCTTTAAGTAATGTTCAAAATATTAATATGAAATATGAGTAGGGATTAATTAATATTCAAGGAAGAATATTATTAAAGAAGATGAATCCTACTATAATTAATATCAAGATGTTAACTAATTGTCATCTTAGCAACACTCCCCAACATTAATATAGAGGAAGAAAATACCATTCTAACCAATGTCGAGATGTTAACTAATTGTCATCTTAGCAACACTCCCCAACATTAATATAGAGATGGTATTAAGGAAAGAACTATTAATTAATATTCAAGGAAAGAAGTTAAGAAAATAACTCACAACTTTAATAATCAACAAGCTTCAAGAGCAACACCAAGAATGGAAGTTTAGCTCCTCATTTGGAGACTAAACATAGCTAGAAAAATATAAAGAAATGCTATTCTAAACTGAGCTTAAGAGTATGGAAGAAGGGATGATTTTTTGTGAAGAAAAAGTGTGCTATTTATAGGTGTTTTTCAACACCTTTGGCCGGGTACCTGACCGGGTCAAGTACTCACCCGACCGGGTCCGGTCAAAATCAGATATTTCCCCACGTTCTGGTGATCTTTGCACACCGGGTTGTCCCCGGTCACTTCTCGCCCGACCGGGTGAGGTATGGGGCCCGACCGGGCCCAACTGTTTCCTCAGTGCTTCGGTTTTCAAATCAGACCCGAACGGGTGCAATTTCCTACCCGGTCGGGTATTTGCTCCTGGACAATTAAAATTCCTTTTTCTTCACTTCAACATCCTCCTTTCCAACATCCTAATTCCTAATTCTACTTTAAAACTTACAAATGAGAACTAAAATACAATTACAACTAAAATCACACAAATGTTTACAAACCAAATAAAACGTCAAACAATCACCATCAATGAAACATAAAAACATACAATTATGCACTACTAATTAGTGTGCATCAATGTGGCGCTTCTTCTCGAGGCCATGGGGGCATTCTTCTTCTTCTTCGCCCTCCAAATTCCCGATCTCCCTCTTCCTTTCGAGGGGGATGGTGTTTGGGTTAACCCAAGCATTTGCTTTTGATGGGCGCCCTCGGGGTGGCCCTTGGTAGGGAGGACCCTGTTGCTGAGGGCTTTGGCCTTTGGACAAACTGGGACAGATGGCCCGCCTGTATTAACCTCTCGATGGCTGTCTTCAGCTGATGGCAGTCATCGGTTTTGTGCCCTTGATGTCGGTGGAAGCGACAGTAGGGATAGTTTGGATTGATGGCATATACCTCCGGGGGTGCGCGAGAATCTCGCTCCACCAGACCCCTCTCCTCAGCGAAGTCGAGGATGACGCTGACGGGGTGCGTTAAAGGTGTCCGAGGATGCTCCAGGAGAACAGGTTGCGCCCAAGCCTTCGGGTTACCCTTATAGCCTCCCTCGGGCTTGGCTTGGCCGTGCCGGGGGTGATCACCGGGGGGCGCTGAACCCTTTGGCTGACTATGAGGAACCCCGGCCCCCGGTTGCCTTTATCATCTGGCTGAGGGCGTTGCTGATCGGGGTTATGATGGCATTTCTCCACCTCCTCGGCCTCGGCGTATTGGTCCCCCCGCTGTAGGGCCCTTATGTAATCGGGGGGGGGGGGGGGGGGTTCGATGATGAGGCTCCTTAAGAAATTGCCGGGGCAGAGCACTGTTTGGAGGAGGGCCAGGAGGGTCCCGTCGTCTGCGCCATCAACTTTATCAGCCTCCGTTCTCCAGCGCTCCAAGAAGTCCCGAAGGGTCTCCTCTTTCCTTTGCCTCACTGTCAGTAAGTGGGAGAAGTGCGTTCTTGTTCGGCGTCTTCCTGCAAATTGTGTCAAGAATCGCTGGGCGGGTTCTTGCCATGAGTCGATGCAGCCTTCGGGCAATCGATTGAACCATTCGTAGGCTGGCCCCTCTAAGGTGGAGAGGAACCAGCGGCACAAATACTCATCCGATGCCCCCACCATCATCATACTGTTCTGGTACCTGCTGTAGTGCTCCTGGGGGTCAGTTTTTCCGTCATAGGGCTTGATGAGTTGCCCTCGGTATTTCTCTGGGATCTGGGCCGCCAATACCCTTGGGGTAAATGGCGTCCGGGTCCGGAGTTGTATGGTGGGTTCCCCGGAGCCTTCGGCTATCTTCTTCTGCATCTCCTCCATCTTGGCCAACATGGCCTCATACTTCAGGTCTGTATGAGGAGCAGAAGTGGTGGCGTGTGCTTTGGTGGCCTCCATCTTGTCAAGCCGGCGCTGGAGGGCCGCAATGATTTCGTCCCGGGAGTCCTTCGGGAGGGCCTCCGCCCCCTGCGAACGGACATGGGCCAAGTGGGACTGGTTGATGTGGTGACGGGCGTCGTCGGCATGGAGAGGTGCCTTGCCTTTGTCCTGAGGGGGACGTCTTTCATCCGCCCGGGAAGCAGATCCGCCACTTTCCTGAGGCCTTTGGAGCACCTCCCCCACGAGGCGGTCTTGGACCCCTCGGCGGTCTTGCGCCCCTCCGATTCTCTCGAGGGCGGAGGTCTGGGGGTGTTCCTTGTTCATGTTGTGGCGGTCCCGGGATTGGACTTCCTGGGAGGCCGTATCTTGGGCCACGACCCCCTCGACGTTCCCAATCCGAAGGACAGGGTTCCCGAGGGAGTGTGGATGAGGGGGAGGCATGATGTTTTCCCAAACCTGAGGTTGAAGGGGAACCAAAGTGCCGAAGGCACCCGGGTTCTGGGTGAGCGTTTGGATGAAGGCGGAAAACGCCGACTGTAAGTCGATAGTGATGACCGGGGGGCTAACTTGGTTTTCGCTTCGGTCCTTCTTTTTGGCCTCGATGCCGAGGCGGGCATCGGGGGCATTTTGCTGAATCTGAAGGCATAGGTCGACAGCCGTCTGATCCAACCCGGCAATGACGCCACCCTCGGGAGCCCTGTTAGAGGCCTCGGGGACGTCGACTTCGCCAAGGGTCAGGTTCCTGTCTTCAACGTTCTTGGAATTGGCACGAGTTGTTCTCATCATTTTCGCTAGGTGTTTTGTGTTTGGCGAGGGGGAGGGTTTCTTACTTGATTATTCGACCTCTCAACGAGAGCACCAAATGATGGATAGTCTACCCGCGGGTATGTATCCGAAGGGTTACTGCGTGGAGTAACTAGAGAGAAGTCAGAGCAAAAGTAAGAGAGATAGAGAGTATATTGCTGAGAATGTAGTGAGCGAGTTTAGCTTGGATTACAAAAAGGGAAAATGGGCGCTATTTATAGTAGTAATAAATGCAAGAAGGGGACATGTGTCACGCATCTAACGGCCGAGGGGTCACATCAACCGGGTGTCACTGGCATTCGCATGTGGCCGCATTAAATGCGGTGGTTGGATGTGTCGTTTGTACTTGGTACGTTGATCCAGCGCATGTGGGTGGGAGAATCTGTCGAGGAGAAGCCTTCGGCCGTAGATGATTGACCGAAGGCTCTTCCTTCCGGGAGCATCCTAGGTGCCGAGGGCTCCAGGTGCCGAGGGCTGCTGTTTTTACTG